CTTCGTTAGGAAGCTGACGTACCATTTTTGGAAGTGACGTAGTTAGTTAAGACAAGCATAATAGATAATGCTGAATCAAAATTGAAAACAAAAAGAACATCAAATATAATACACGTGCATGGAGGGCGAAAATGACCAAATTCAGTCTTGTCCAGTCACGCCACTGCTCTCCCGAAGTCAGATCTACGCCAAATCTAACAAACAGAACTAATCCATAGGTCGACAAAAATACGAAGATACGGAACCTAGTGACTACCTAATACATGTGAAAACACGTCGAGAATCGCCAAGAATCAAAAATCTGAGCTCTAGGCGGCTGCTTTGACCTCGATGTCGCTGCTGTGTAGGTACGAGTCGACGCAGCTGACCACGGATCGGGATTGGCTGGAGGGATAACAGGGGCGCGGCTGCAATGAGACTTACTACCGCCGGGCCGTGGACACGTCGGACGAGGCAACGTCATCCAAATATAAGGCTATAACACCACGTGCGTATATATAATATATTATATATATATATATTAACAGGAGTGTCATAATATAGATTATAGTCTATGTATTGATATAGATGATAGATATATAGATTGATTATTGATTATTAATACATTGATTGATATATAGATATAGATGATAGTCTATAATATCATGCAAGAGCTAATAAATATAAGCCAGGTGTTTAATTAGCATATTGATACTGATATTATGATCATTAATATTATGACTTATTATGATACTTATGATATTATTGGATTATTTATGATATTACTAGTTATGAACTATACATATATTATATTATTGATTAAGTTATATTATATTATATATGACTACTCCTGATAATTATCATATACCACACGCGATGTAAAGACGGGAGTCAGAGTTTATCAATAACGGGGCTCGTATACCACCGCTAACGATCGGCGGCGGTGACCTGTCATCAGCGTGTGTTATTCGTCGCTGTGCAGTGCCGGTACACGACGGGCAACACTAGCGAGCGAGACGGTAGTATTGACGATGTCGAGTTGCGCTGACGGTTCCGGCGTCGGCGATGCGTCGGCGACGCAGCCGTCGTCGTATGCAGATGTCTCATGCTCACTTCATAGCCTCTTTGAGCTGTCGGCGAGCGCAGTAGTGATGTGCCGCTACCGATGCTGCTCTGCTCATGCGGGAATTAGCTTGCTGTCAATCGTAAAGTCTGTCCTCTACTCTGCTCTCTGCTCTCCCTCTCTCTTCTCTCTCTCATCTCTTCTCTCTCTCTCTCTCTCTCTCTGTCTCTCTACTGTCCTCTCTCTTCCATCTTCTTTCTCTCTCTTCTCTTCTCTGCTCTCTCTCGTCTCTCTCTCCTCTCCGTTCTCTCTCTCTACGGTCGAAGGTTTCAACACGATTCGGTTACGTGTAAAACTAATTAAATTTCTAATGGTGCACACTGAAGGGTCACTCAATACGTATAATCCAGGTTTCTTCCCTCCGGGGGGGGGGGGTATATGTGCGTGTATTTATTATAAAAAATATGTTTGTCGCATGCGCGTATGTGTGGATGTGCGCGTGCGCCTGTGCGAGTGCGCGTACGTGCGCTTTTAGCGCTTAATTTGTGTGCGTTAAAGTGATGAGACGCCACATCCTCTCATCACGTGCTGCGAACTTTAGACAAAAAATTAGGGGAAAAAAAATCTCGGTTGAAACTCCGGCGCGTATATATCCCCAACATCATCCTTTATTACTCGTATAGACTGGCGCCTTTCTCATGGATCTCAACCCGCTGCTGATGAGACAGCTGGTGAAGACGGGCGTCTACAGTGCGGTGCATGTCTACGACTTCCAGGGAATGTGCAAGTACACGGAGGACACGGTAGCCGCCGCCACTTCTCTACAGTTCCAAAACGTACATACGACCTGCTACAATTGCAATCACCTCCCGCTTCCCGGCCCGCCATGCTCGCGTAATGACGTTTTGTTGATCAGTAGAATTGGGAATCGAATTCTTTGTCGCCCGTCACGAATTATTTCCCTAGAGGAAAACTGTTTCCGTAAACGATTTACGGAAATTGACGCGAACGGCGGTTGGGCTGCCACCTATGTTTCGAAAAAGAACTAGCCGAGCGTCTGGGATGTTGTCTTGAGATGGGGTGTTTACACACCTCATAACCTCATAATGATTAGTCTTTAAAGTCTGTAAGTCTTAAAGGGACTGTAACGGCGAGAGACAAAGCTGATTAAATAGACAGATAAACATTGCGGATCGCAGTAGAAAAAGCTTCAAAATCTGCAATTAACCAAAGTGGACGGAAGAGAATTCCAATATGAAATTACATCGTCCCCGTTTTCACGTTTTATTCTCGCAGCCCGTGACACTTCTGCTCAACGTGTTAGCCTGGTTCTGGCGTGAGATGACGCTACTACTGCTGGAACACAGTCTGTACAGCTGGTGGCTCAGACGCCTCGTCTACTCAGCCCATGGTACGTTCGCTCTCGTGGCTTGTTATGGTCGTGATCTCCAGAAGCTGTAACTTAGCTACACGCCCACACGCTCTGCGCTCATGTTCTGTGCCTCTTGTCCCGCCAGGAGGTAAGGGTATAAAAGAAAGAGAGAATCGATGAGAAAGACAAGCGTCAACAGAATATTCAGCTTTGCAGAGTTAGTGAAACATGACAAAGACTACCATGGTCGAAACTATTAGTTCGTCGCTAACTATTACAGCTCTGTATGGCATCAATCCATAGACTATCCCACTGTGGTCGCACTGTCTATTAAATCATAACCTGATCGTATTCTCGTGGAGTAGTAGAGTGGGATGCTCTGTCTAGTAGAGACTGTTTAGACATCCAATTCACACATGCCTATAGGGTTGTAACTTATTTGACCTGCGCGCTATCCTCGATTCTCTGTCTTATATCTTGGGATTTTCTGACGTAGAGGCTCAGTTCTGTGTGCGAATTCACTGCTGAATTTACAGCTAAACTGACAGTTGAATTTATAGCTGAATTAACAGCTAAATCTACAACTGACTTCAGCATCGTTGCGGGGCTTAGCGCAACCGTTCTCTCTGCACGCCGCGGATTCGACCCACCACCGCCTCACACTCCTATCCTCTCACAGGTTCCACGTTGTTTGCTAACTGGGACAGACACTACACGCCGTGCCACAAGCAGGTGACACTCTACAATGTCAACTGGGCCGTCCTGCAGACGGCAGCCGGGCAGACTGTCACGAGCGACTACTGTGACGGCTGGAACTGCGTGAGGTGTGTTAACCCCCCTCCCCCCGCGCGCGCGCGCGTGGCACCATCGGTATGACTGCTAACACGTTATTGTGATGTGTGTTATTATTGTAATGTGATAAGCCTTCTCTTCCCACGCGGAACCCCATTGCTATGACTGCTAAGCTGTCGTGATATGCGTTATTATTGTAAAAGCTGTAAGCTGGACTGCGTGAGGTGTGCAATCTCTGTTGCTCTCACGCGCGTGCTATCGCTCTAGCTGCTAACAAATTATCGTAATGCATGCCATTATTATGAAAGCTAAAGCCCGGCGCACACGTGAGTTATTTTACTCAAGTAAAATAACTTAAGTGTGCGCCGGGCATAAAGGCGAAAACAACTTTTTCTGAAATCTAAATCTGAAATCATTGTATACATCGTACTCGCTGACAGACGAATTATATACTCTGGCGCCATCTGTTGGCACGCAATATCACGAAATCCTCGATATGATCAGTGAATAACTTAATTAAAATGCTACCGCGCAGCCACTGCTTCTATCGGCAAACCAAAAATTATTAATAATTAATAATAGACTCATAATTAATGTTAAATAATAGATAAGATTAAGGCCGCGTGCAATATATTCGACTTGATAAGCTCTAATGCATGCCGAGATGACAGAAGCTAAGCCGGTGTGCGTGTATGTGTGTGTTTTGCAGTTACTACAACGTGGTTCACGTCGATAGGACGAATCTCATGATGCTCACGCTCAATAAACACTGCCGCGGATGCGCCGACACCGACGACGACTATAACTCACAAAACGGCTCGCTAGATGGCGTTCAGATAGATTACACGGAAAATCGGTGCCGACGTTTTCGGCAGGACGTCTACCGCAGGCGCCCCCTAAAATGTTTCTCCAGACATCCCAACGAGGTGATCCCCGCGTTGGATAAAATACGTTCAGATGAAATATACGTTATCGAAAAAAACTAGGAGCAACATTTCTAGAGCAGTATCGTGGAAGTGTTTCATTAACATTCGTTTTAACGAGTTTGAAGTAATTGTACTTTCCGCATTACATTTCGTATGTATAGGGCCTACTATTGTTTAATTATATAACGTCATTATAATTAAATTATACTGTTATATTTCAAGCTATATAATTAGTGATGAGAGATTCGCTAAGGATTTATGTGGCGTTCTGTTGTTTTTGCAGAAACCTGTAAGTTGTGCCGCGGCGTCTGGCCCGGTAGAGCTCTCCACCGCTCTGGGAATCTGCTGCCTGCTCTACAGCTTGGCGTTGGCATGGCGACCGCGATTGCGAGTCAGATGACATGCGGGAATCGTAGACTGATGCTTTTCTCGGATGTTTGGAACGTTCTCAGATGGATTGAGCAGATGATCACGCGCAGACGTCGTGCGGGAGGCTTGCCTACAAAGCGTGCAACCACACTGTGCACGCAGCACACGGACAACGTGAACGTGAACTAGTAGTCACGGTGAACTACAGCCAAAGGATTATAGAGTAGAATTAATTCATATTATCCTGGTCTTGCATCGTGTATGTATGTATATATGTGCCTTCTGCTCACACATAATGCCTTTTACAAGAGCGGTCGGATAAAAAGAGAGAGATAATGGTGGCATTTATATCATAACCTTGTCATCCTGGGTATTTTTGTATTGGACCTAGGTGCCGTCGATTATATATGTATAGAAGGCATTGCGTCTAGAACAGCAGACACATTCTGATGTCTTTGCTTTGACAAGTTTGTAAACATTTGTATACATTATTGAATCATAATGCATGCCTGTCTGTCGGTCTATTTCTATAACTGTGTCTTTATTGCCTATATATGCCTAAATTGTTCAATTCCCTTTCGCATTATCTATAATTATTGAATAGGCATATATTTGAGGATTTATCGATCTTACAGATCGCAATATTGCGATGAAGTGCTATATTGATCTTGTGTGATTCGAACGTGTTATATACATCTAGGGCTTTATATTGCGCAGACGACATTTTCTCTCTCTCTCTCTCTCTCTCTCTCTCTGCTCTCTCTCTGCTCTCTCTTCTCTCTCCATCTCTCCTGTCTCTGTCTCTCTCTCTCTCTCCTCTCTGCTCTCTCTCTCTCTCTCTTCTCTCTCTCTTGCTCTCTCCTCTCTCTCTCTCT